TATATATATATATATATATATATCTCCTCATCACAACCTTGTTTCACACAACACGGCCTGTGTAATACAAAAGGAAAAAAAAAATCTTTGACAATGTGAAAGACCTCATGACCTTTTAGGATCTCACCAGACTAGACATCTACCCCGTTAGCAATAAGATACGGGACAACACTAGCCTGAGATTGAAGGCTGGAAATCAACCGAATAGGTAACAAGCCTCGACAGAAAAGTCGCTCAATGATACAGTAAACGTACTATCACGCACTAAGGATAATTGCAATTACCTACTTGACGAAAGGGAACGAACTTTGTTTCGTTTCCATGTTTATGGATTGGCGCCAACGCTCGTGAAAATCTGGGCCAGTCGGTCCTCCATTCATTCGATCAAGCCAATGCACCAGCCAAACAGTGTAAGCTAAGCTTCTTTTAGCAACTTATCTCGAATCTTGAAATGTTTAGCAAACTGTGGTCTAACTGCATAAAACAACGTAAATTACGCTTTAGTCCACATAGGTAGCACATCTAGATAAAGGGAAAAATCTCCGTGTGGAAGATAGTGATTATAATTTCAAGAGTAAAAATCTTGGTACTCAGATAGAGACAAAATATTTCTAATAGACAATAAAGGGTAATAGAGCTAAGGTTTGAGAGTCAGATTTGATGTAAAGGATAATCCACGATATACAATATTTTAGGATTCCATAATAAGAACTCCGATCCTATGAAATAGGACGTGAGCTAGAAATTGATTGTATCCAATTGGTTTTACCACACCTCTACTCATAAGTGGACGTCATGGGGACATCGCCCATTGCAAAGCCAAAGACTTTGCAGGTAGATATACTAATATATAGAAAGCAACTAAAAACAACCAATCCGTGCCGTTAAAAAAAATTGTCAATTGAAGCACAAAAATTCTATTTGGGAGGCCAAGGGAACCTATGTACTCACACCCTATCAAAAAATTAAGAAATAAAGGAGAAAGAAAATAATTCAGATATGTAAAAGAATATACTTCTGCTTGAATACATTGAACCTCCTTCATGTGAAATTCAGCATTGTTGTTCTGTTTTTCATTCTGTAACATATCTAGAACCTAATTGGCCCATGCATCTTTCAAGTTTTTGATTATGACAAAAGGCAGTCAAATCAACGTCTCCATCAAGTAGATTAGTCTTCAAGGGCACTGGCCCAAATGTACAAACTTGTAAATAAATGGATCAAAGGCATATAGAAAGAAGTTTAACATGAGGACTAATATGCAAATTAGTATGGAAAACCTAGGCGAGACTTTAGTTAAGATGTTCAAATATGCAAGAAACAATTCCAACTAATTATACTGGGAGACACCTCAGAGTTCACGTGAACAAATATCACATACCTTCTCTATTTAACCAAAAATAGCAGCGTTCCCCTTTCTCTGAAAAGGCCACTCAAGTGTTCACAACTCGAGTTGCAAAAATAGTATTAATCCATCAAAAAACATTCAATACTTCTTAAATTTAGAATTCAGTATCCAATCAAAACATCAAAGGCTTACCTCTATAGATTTTTGTCTTCAAGCATTGAATTCTAGTTCAACAGAACATATATGACATAACATTGTTAGACACGACATTTTATGTTTTGCAATTGATTTGTGTTTGACATCTCACTCCACATCCTTGATTCCAAAAGTATTTCTCATTGTGCTAATTTCTCCTTTTCATTTCATGAGCACAACATAAATAAACTGAAACAATCATACACACAGTTACCATAATTTAATTGCCACTATTGCCAAACAAGCAAAAAGCGCCGATTAAACAAAATTACATCATAACATTTTGGAATTAATTCACATGAGCTCTTTCTAGTGACTTGGCAGGGAAAACACTTCATGTTGAACTGCTGCACATAATCGCAACTGCATTCCATCGCTTCTCAGATGGTTGGTTGGGCTGAATGCAGGCAATGAGCTCGCAGATCTCTCCTTGGCCTTCGACTTCCTGGCAATAGCCCATTCGACAATGATCCACTCGGCTCCTCCAATTCCTGGTGCTCTCCCATGTGCTCCTGTGTTTTCTGTTGGACTAAAATTATCGGATGGAATGGTTGGGAATGAATAATTGATTAACACACGTCGTATATACAGTTTAGATATTGGATTACGCATACCGTATTTACGCACAATTTATATGCAAATTACAGTACTTACAGCTTGTCGTATTTGCAATAGCTTATCGTATTTGTAACAGCGTACCGTATTTGCAACTTATCGTATTTGCAACAGCGTACCGTATTTGCAACAGCGTACCGTATTTGCAACAGCTTACTATTTTTTAGTAAGAATACATTTTGAAATAGTTAATTGATGAAAAATGTGTGGTTAAGAAATAAGAAAAAGTTTTAATTTTGTGTATAATATAATTTTATTGATAAATGTGTGACTGAAAAATAAAGAGAAAAAAATATATTTTGTGAAAAGTGGGTATCAAATAAAGGCTAAGACTTTGATTAGATTTCTCCCGTGCTGTGACGCAAAATCAGTTAAGGATATATTTGGAACGACAAATCAGTCGAGCCCAACAAGACATTGATTAAAGAGCAACCAATCTCTAACAAACAAGATAATCAAACAAGGACATCAAAAATCACGAAAAATTCAACTTACCAGTACTAATGTACTGTGTAATGTTAAGACTGGTACTATATGATCTACATCGAATGCTTTTCTACAAACTTCCTAAGATTTTTTCGAGCCACACAATCAAGAAAGCACAAATAAGTTCGATCTTCCTCTCCATCCTTATTTGACACGTGTAATTCAATAACTGGTGCAATCTTATTCCCTCTTCCACGCCAGCACCTCCCCTACCACACCATCCAATTTTCAACCATTCATCCCAAAAGCATAAAAAAGGAAAAAAAAATACTTCAACTGGTTTAGTGCTCGAGGAGCCACTAAATTATGCAATGGAGGCCCTTCATCCAGTTGGATTAACCCCACTCTCTGTTCTTGCTGAAAGAAATAAACCAAGAAAAAATTCATCACTTGCCTCAATTCCATCGTTGAAGAACCAAAATCTTGCCATTTCTTTATCAAGAAATCTTCAAGGGGGATTAGTCCTTTTATCTACGGTTCTCGATTTCGGGTTAGCAAAAGCAATAACATATGATGAAGCTTTACAGCGATCAGTGACTAGTTCTTCCACCACTGACTTTGATCCCAGTGGAGTATTTGATAGTGTGATCAATTTTGTTGTGGACAATCCTTTAATTGTTGGTGGTGGTGCGGTCATTTTGGCGGTGCCGTTGGTGGTGGCTCAGTTGTTGAGCAAGCCTAAGCCATGGGGATTGGAGAGTGCTAAGACTGCTTATACAAAACTGGCTGATGACTCCAATGCTCAGTTGCTTGATATAAGAGCACCAGGGGAGTTGAGGCAAGTCGGGAGCCCGGATGTTCGGGGCTTGAGGAAGAAGCCGGTGGCGGTTGTATACAAAGGTGAAGATAAGCCTGGGTTTTTGAACAAGCTGGCTTTAAAATTTAAAGAACCAGAAAATACCATACTGTTCATTCTGGACAAGTAAGATTTTGAACCTACTCTCTGTATTTTGTTTGAGTTAAACTACTTGTACAATGAGTTTGTATGACTAGTTTGACAATCCACGAGGTGTAAACATCCTGGTCATTGATTCGAATCAATGGCCAAACTGCCTGCCTGGATTGTCAAACTATTTGTACATTTAGCAAAACTCTTTATTTATTATTCATGGAGTTATTCGCTTTTTCTTGAGTTAATCTTGATCTCTTATAGAAGATTATGGTCTAATTCACCTTACGAAACATGCTACGCACATAATGCCATGTTATGAATATTCCCAGTGTACCATATGTTTTAAGGTGTCCCGTTTGTGCTGTAACTGATTTTCGTCGTCAGTAAAACTAGTCCGTGAATTATGGAGTTGCATTCGGCGGTATTTCATTAAAATCTTAATATGCATTATTCTGTTCTGTAAGCATTAGATTTTTATGGCTACAGAACAGTGAGGTTTAATTACCGAGTTGGTGTAGAGCATGATTTCTAGAACCATATCTGGTTAATGGATTCACTGGAATTGTATTAGTTAATTGTGAGAAGAAGAGAAGCTGGAGGAAGAGAGGAAGGGGGCTGGTTCTGCTGGGCGCCCAGGCGCCCAATTTCTGCCTCCCCGGCAGAAACATGGCGCCTAGGCGCCCCGAGTGTTATTTCCAGACAGAAACATGGCGCCTAGGCGTCCCGATAGATGTATTTATACCCGGTTTCTGCCTCTTTCCATATAACTCAAGACCTAGGCTTGAAAATTAGAGAGAAAGAATAGAGAAAACTTGGTGAGAATTATACAAGTTGAAGGTTGTTCATTTTGGGTATAAATTCAAAGTTATTTTCTTTCTTGGGGATTAACTTGGGGCTTGTTCAAGTAATCCAAATACATTGATCTTCATATATTCCATTGAAATCATTTCTTCCTCATTTTCTTGTTCTTGAAGTGTTTGGAAATATTTTACATTGTCAACTTTGTTTGATCTTTGGGCTATCATTGGGCGGTATTTTCCCTACAATTTGGTATCAGAGCTACATCCTAAATCAAGGTGGTTAAACTTCGATTTTGTGGTGAGTTGCTTGAACTTTGTTGTGCACAAGGTGTTTGTGAAAATTCCCAAGTGAACTTTGATGATTTATTTTCGATAAACAAGTGGATAAGTCATGTCTACTAGAGGAATGGTGAAAATTGGGAAGTATGAGATATAAAAATTCAATGGGAAGAAAGATTTTTCATATTGGAGAATGCAAATGAAAAATTTGTTGATTTCTCAAAAGTTGCACAAGGCATTGGTGGGAAAGAAGAAGAAGCACGTTGATATGTCGGACGAGGATTGGGAAGAGCTAGATCTTAAGGCACGAGCGTCTATCATTCTTTGCCTTGAAAGAGATGTGCTTTCTTGGTTGATAGTGAGGTAACGACGGCGGAGGTGTGGACAAAGTTGGAGGCGAACTTCATGACGAAGATTTTAACAAATCGGATCTATTTGAAGTCCAAATTGTATACTTGCAAGATGGATGAAGGCACACCAATCCGGGAGTACGTCAACAAGTTTGATAGGATCATATCGGACTTGAAGGACATTGATGTGGATGTAGATGATGAGGATCAAGCACTTCTACTACTTCTTTCATTGCCAAAGTCTTACGAGAACCTAGTACAAACATTGATGCTTGTGGGTGATGAGGACACTAGAACGTTACTTCTAGCGGATGATTTTCGAAAGATTGCAACTAGTGGCATGTCTACCATTGGTAACAAGGAGCAAGCTCAAGGATTGTTTGTAAGGGGTAGAAGCAATGTGCGACCAAAGGGCAAGGGAGAAAAATCTAGATCGAGTTCTAGACCTCTTGCGGAAAGGTCTTGTTTCAAATGTGGCGAGCTTGGGCATTTCAAGGCGAATTGTCCAAACAAAAAGGGTTGGAAGAAGAACAATAAGAACAACAACAGTGGGAAGGTGCAAGTCAAGCAAGAGGTAAGTTATGCCTCGGAAGGAGGGGGAAGCGATGAGTGCTACACCATCTCTTGTGATGAAGAGACCTCCGGTAAGTGGATTCTTGACTCTGGATGCTCTTACCATATGTGTCCAAATAGGAAGTGATTTACTACCTATAGAAGCACTGATGGTGGAACCGTGTTGATGGGAAATAACCATTCATGTAAAACGGTGGGGCTTGGTTCAATTAGAATCAAGATGCATGATGGAGTGGTTAGAACATTGATAGATGTTAGACATGTTCCTGATTTGCGAAAGAACCTTATCTCTGTTGGTGCCTTAGACTCCGGTGGTTGCAAGATTGTAACATGGAATGAAGTAAAGAAGGTTGTTTGTGGTTCTTTGATTGTGATGAAGGGTATTCGTGAAGGCAATCTCTATGCTCTTCAGGGTACTACAGTTACTGAAGATGTAGCAGTTGGAACAAGTGGAAGTGGTGGAGAACCATGTGAGTGCACTCGGCTATGGCATAGGAGGCTTGGGCATATGTCTAAAAAAGGGCTAGATTTGCTAGTCAAGAAAGGTTTGCTAAAGAACCTGAAGAAGCCTTGCATGGACTTTTGCGAGCATTGCGTGTACGGTAAAGCAGACTGAGTTCAGTTCCAGCCAAGCAAACATAGAAGCAGAGGCATTCTTGACTATGTGCACACGGATGTATGGGGTCCGGCTTCTGTCACTTCCAAAGGCGGTTCCAGTTATTTTGTTATATTTGTTGATGATTATTCCAGATATGTTTTGATTTATTTTTTGAAGAATAAGAATGAGGTATTCGACACTTTCAAGAAGTGGAAAACAATGGTTGAAAACAGAACAGGAAAGAAATTGAAGACACTGAGATCTGATAACGGTACTGAGTATACAGATGGTGCTTTCAAGGAGTTCTGTGGTAAGGAAGGCATTGTGAGACACTGGACAGTAAGAAATACATCGCAACAGAATGGGGTCGCGGAAAGACTGAATCGCACATTTCGAGAGAAATTGATGTGTATGCGATCCTATGCTGGTTTGGGCAGAGAATGGTGGGCAGAGTCGGTTGCAAATGCTTGCTACATTGTGAACCGATCCCCACATTCAAGGTTAGATGGAGATATACCTTACAGGGTATTGACAGGAGAACATGCAGATTATGAGAAACTCAGAACATTCGGATGCACAGCCTACTATCATGTCAACGAGAGAAAGCTTGATGCGAGGGCCAAGAAGGCTATATTTTTGGGGTATGCGGCAGGTGTTAAAGGCTATCGCCTTTGGTGTGTAGAGGATTCTAAGTTCATAATCAGTAGAGATGTTATTTTTGATGAGAACTCCATGGTAGCTTCGTTGAAAGCTATAGTGCCCGGTGGTGATAATGTTGAGACTACAATGTCTCAAGTTGTTGACATAGAACCTAGAGATTAACCAGATTCTAGGCATGTTCAAGAGGAGCATCAAACAGACACTCAAGATGAGAGTGATGATGCAACTGAACAAGAGGCGGTTCAGCAAGAGAATGCACAGGCACAGCAACAACCGCAGCTTGCAGATAACTTAGCTACCTCTAGGCCACGCCGTACTTACAAGCAAGTTCTAAAGTTAGGGTCAGACGAGCCTTTGAGGCACTATGGACAGGCAAATTCGGTTGAGTATGCACTCTCGGTGGAGGATGATGAGCCTACCACTTTCAAGGAAGCTATTTTAAACAACAATAGCGAGAGTTGGTTGGCGGCTATGGAAGAAGAGATGGAATCACTTTACAAGAACCAAACATGGGAGGTTGTCCCGTTGCCCATAGGTAAGAAAGCTATTGGTTGCAAATGGTTGTATAAAAAGAAGGAGGATCCTACCAGGCTCGGTGGTACAAGATTCAAAGCGAGGTTAGTGGCAAAGGGGTTTGCACAAAGAGAGGGAGTTGACTACAATGAGATATTTTCTCCTGTGGTCAAGCACACTTCCATTCGGGTGCTATTGAGTATTGTTGCTCATCATGATCTTGAGCTGGAACAATTCGATGTCAAAACCGCCTTCTTGCACGGGGACTTGGACGAGGAGATCTATATGCATCAACCTGAGGGCTACAAGGTTGAGGATAAGGAACGTCAGGTATGTCGCTTGAGAAAGTCACTATATGGATTGAAGCAATCTCCTCGGCAGTGGTACAAGCGATTTGACTCCTTCATGCTAAAGCATGGTTTCTCCAGAAGTGAGTATGACTGTTGTGTTTATATTCGAAAACTTCGGGGAGGTAACTATATCTATCTTCTATTGTATGTGGATGACATGCTTATCGCCTCGAAAAGCAAGGTGGAGATAGATAAGTTGAAATCTCAACTTGGTAAAGAGTTTGAGATGAAGGATATGGGGGCTGCTAGGAAAATACTGGGTATGGAGATTAGAAGAGAGAGGACGAACCGGCGAATGTTCTTGAGTCAGAAAGGCTACATTGAGCGGGTTATTGCTAGGTTCGGGTTGCAAGGTGCAAAGTCGGTGGTGACTCCATTGGCTCCACATTTCAGGCTCTCTAGTAAATAGTCTCCTACTACAGCGGAAGAAAAGGTACGCATGGATCGTATGCCTTATGCTAGTGCAGTTGGCAGTTTGATGTATGCCATGGTGTGTACACGCCCAGATATTTCATGGGCGGTTAGTGTGGTCAGTAGATTCATGGCGAATCCGGGGAAGGCACACTGGAAAGCTGTGAAGTGGATCCTGAGGTACTTAAAAGGTACCGCGGATACGGGTTTATGTTTTGGTGGAGATGCATGTCATATAAGTGGGTTTGTGGACTCGGATTATGCAGGTGATCTAGATAGACGACGATCTACTGCTGGATATGTGTTCTGCATACATGGTGCCCTAGTTAGTTGGCGATCGATGTTACAGGCTACAGTTGCTCTTTCTACTACAGAGGTCGAGTATATGGCCATGGCAGAGGGAGTGAAGGAAGCATTGTGGTTATGGGGTCTCTAAGAAGCACCGACACGGACACGAGTGTCCGACACGATACGTGTCCGACACGTCGACACGCTATTTTTCCAAAATGTTCCGACACGATACGTCTTCGACATGTTGATTAAAATATTAATTTTAATTTATTTTAATAATTAAAAATAATAATAATTTTTTTTTATACTTACTGCATCTTGTATATAAATAATTAAATAATAAATATAAATAAAATATGATATTAAATTCATATATGAAGGGTAAAATAGTAAAAAATTAATTAACATAAAATCTTGAATGTTGTTTAAAGTTGAAAAAAAGTAATGCATACTGCAAAAAAATGTGTACAATGCATTAATATGACTAATATACTACAAAGTGCATTTAATATGTTGGGTCCACTGAACCAGCAGCCTGCTTTGAAAATTACTCCAACACAGACAGGTATTGTCTTCTCTCTCGTCACTTCTCTCTTTCTCTTCTTCTTCTTCTTCCTTTCTTCTTTCTTCTTTCTTCTTTCTTCTTTCTTCCTTGCCGTTACCGGAGCAGCAGTGTAGCCAACACAGGTACCGTTTTCTTCCTTCTTTCTTCACTTCTTCACCATTTCCTTCCAGTTCGACACACCGCAAGGAACCCGACACGTGTCGGCGACGTGTCTCCGACGTACCCGTGTCCGATACGTGTCGGACGACACCGACACGCCGATGCCGGAAGCGTGTCGGTGCTTCACAGTGGGGTCTTTTAGATGATTTGGGGATTGAGCAGGATTGTGTGGACTTGTGGTGTGATAGCCAGAGTGCGATTCACTTGGCTAAGAATCAGGTTCATCATGCTCGAACCAAGCTTATTGACGTCAGGTATCATTTTGTGCGTGATGTTATAGAGGAAGGTGATATTTCACTCTCGAAGGTACACACAAATGAGAACCCAGCTGACATGTTAACCAAAGTGGTGACGGGTAGCAAGTTTCAACATTGCTTGGACTTGTTTCACATTAGTCCGTGTTGATATGCCTGAGAGGGCATGACCCTTCGGGGCAAGGTTGGAATGAGGTGGAGAGTATATGAAGGTGGAGGTGAACTACGGAGGCTTGATCCCGAGTTTTGGGTACGTAGGCAATCATGGTTTGAATGATGCAGCCGAGTTGGTGCTTGCTACTTCTTCTTGTGTTCGTCCAAAATTTGAGGTCTATCAAATGATGTACGAGGTGGAGAATTGTGAGAAGAAGAGAAGCTGGAGGAAGAGAGGAAGGGGGCTGGTTCTGCTGGGCGCCCCGAGTGTTATTTCCAGACAGGAACGAGTGGCGCCTAGGCGCCCCGATAGATGTATTTATACCCGGTTTCTGCCTCTTTCCATATAACTCAAGACCTAGGCTCGAAAATTAGAGAGAAAGAAGAGAGAAAACTTGGTGAGAATTTTACAAGTTGAAGGTTGTTCATCTTTGGTATAAATTCAAAGTTATTTTCTTTCTTGGGGATTAACTTGAGGCTCATTCAAGTAATCCAAATACATTGATCTTCATATATTCCATTGAAATCATTTCTTCCTCATTTTCTTGTTCTTGAAGTGTTTGGAAATATTTCACATTGTCAACTTTGTTTGATCTTTGGGCTATCATTGGGAGGTATTTTCCCTACATTAATATTGTTATTCCCTTATTGTTAATCTATAATCTTTGCCTAGGATTCTCTCTTAGCAAGACAAAGATCTTATAGCAAAAATCTCTCGATAAATTTTGATTCTGGGCTCAAAAAACAATCAAACGAACACCGATTTACCTCACATGGCTTCCTTCTCTCTTAGTTGCTTCTCTTCTCTCAACTCTCCACTCCATTGCTACAACACACACAAAAAAAGACTGGGAGATAAATACATATATATAAGTTATTTTAGGTCATCAAATATGGGCCAAGAGATCTCTAAGTGGGTTGCCATATAACTTAAACTAATGGGTCAATTTTCAACTCTATATTAATCACTAAATGGTCTAACTAACCAAATAATCATCCAATCCAAATTCGAGCCATCCAAAAGTGTAGTTCGTCTCCGAGTTGAGCCAAGTTCATGGTGTCGATAAATAATCCGACAACTATTTTAAATCATCGTCCGGATTATTGGGTATCAAAAAACCCAACAGATCTCGTTTGTAATATTTACGAATTACGTCGAATCTTATCATATGAATTGTAATGATACCAGATTTGATGGCAACTCCGAGCTTGTTGCGGAGCTGGTAACAGCCAATGGCTTCAAAGCTGCTTATGCTATTAAAGATGGTGCAGAAGGACCCCGAGGATGGATGGTTACTTTCTTGCCTTATATATTCTACTTTTGCCTTCTGAAACAGCACTTACATGTGATTAGAGTTTTGCTGGTTACGAGTTATGTGCAATTGTGCGCAGAATAGCGGCCTTCCTTGGATACTTCCAAAGAATACGTTGAGCCTAGACATAAGCGGTTTTGCAGATGCGATCGGTGATGCTTTGGGGGTAAGTTCCTTAACTTGTATTTCAAACTTATCGAGTGTGCAACACGTTTCAATCTCCAGTCAACTCTGGGTCTTATTCTGCAAATTATGAAGAAATTTCTACATATGTTTTATGTTTCTCTATCTTATTTCTGCTGCTATTTCCTCCAATATCAGCTGTAGATGTTCTTAGCAGTTGGAATTACATTTTTCATTATGTTTTCCGAGACATTTATTTGAAGTGCTGTTGGATGGATTTGCAGGAGACTTCTGATGCTACGTCTTTGACCCTTGGTGTTGCTGCTGCTGCCGGTCTCGGATTATTGGCCTTCACAGAGGTTATGAATCTTGCGCGATTTTATTTTTACTAAAAATCAAAGGATTACCTAATACTTTTTTTTATTTTTTATTTTTCAGGTGGAAACAATTCTCCAACTTTTAGGTTCTGCTGCTCTCATCCAGTTAGTTAGTAAGAAATTCCTGTTCGCAGAGGTTTGTTATGTTTCCAATTCTCATATTTTGAAAGTTGAGAATTCAAAGTTCGCTCCTTTGTATCTCAATTTGTTGTCTTGTTTTTTGTTATTTCAGTTCATATAACCAGTATCGTCTTATGCAAAGTGTTGAATATTTGTTCAAAATCAATGACATGATAATGGGCTTATTGTTGGGCTCAATTGTAGAATAAAAAGAAATTGAAAAATGCAAATTTTGATTTTTTACCTGTGCGTATAGACTTAATTTTGTGCGTACGCAAGATGTGTTTTGACAAAATTAGAATTAAATTTTGCTTCTACTATACGTACGCACAGTTTATACTATGCGTACGCATAGTGTGAAAAAATAGCCGTTGGCTGATTTTTCAATTTAAAATTTGGGAGCCATTTTGGATTAAAAGTTGCTACTTTTCATCTTGTTTTGACACCATTTCGTGATGCATTAATTGAGACCTATAAATAGGTGATGAATGATCAATACAAATATCATTAGAATCATTGAAAATATCTTGAGATCCATATATCATTCCATATTGAATCAAACTATTGATTTACATTCATATTCAAGATCTTCCTTTGTGTTCTTAAAGTTTTGGAGGTTGCACTTGTGTTTTGGTGTTAAATCCTTTACAAGACTTGATATAATCCTACAAACCGTTTGCCAAAACCCTTAAACATTTCATTCAATTTCGAGAGGGGGCAAATATAGTTTGAGGACAACGATCCCGTGTTCAAGCCTCAAATTCGTTCTTAACGTATTTTGTGATTTCTATTCATTTTGTTTCTATAATTTGTTGTTGTTTCTTCTCCAACCCTTTATTTTCCAACACAAAGTTCCACAAATTCTCCTTGCAGGATAGGAAACAAACTCTGCAACAAGTTGAAGAGCTCTTAAACACAAAAGTTGCCCCTAAAGAGCTTGTGGGTGATATACAGGTAAATGGACACTTTTGATCGTTAAATTCTGTGCTTTTGGTATTCACTTGACCGTTTATTTACTCCACGACTGGGAAATTCAGCAAATTGGTAAGGCCATTCTGCCATCGACTGTGAGTAGCAAGGCTCTGCCCGCCCCTGTAGAGGCAAATCCTGCTCCAGCTGATACAACTGTTCAGAAATCCGAGTCTATCCCCGAGGTAAACAATGCTCCACCTGAAGTCGAATCAGCTCCCGAGCCCACTCCACAAATCAATTCAGTTGCCAAAGCAGAAGTAGAAGAAAAATCCCTTCCTGAAATTTCAAGGCCACTTTCACCATATCCTAATGTGAGTTGGTGCAACATGCATGTTTATGACATTCTTACGATGCTTTCAGACTACATTAGTAACTTTTGATGCACGAGTGATAAGGTGGATTAGAAAGTATTAACAATGAAAGAGAAATTAAATCTTATCCATTATAGTATTGATTAGGACTACGTGCCAAACATTCCCTAATGAACTTATAGTTATTAATATATTTACTTTCTTGATTGCAGTACCCAGATTACAAGCCACCATCCTCACCTATACCATCACAGCCATAGAGGTTGGACGAGTTTAATGGGATATCCGATTTGGCTGGAAATCAAATAATCATATTACCAGAATTATAGAAATATATAATCCTCTGGTACGAGGTTTTTGAGCTTACATATATTGTGTTATGAGAAATCTTAATGGTGGATAGTAGAGAGGTTTCCTGGTTCGATGTTTGTTATCTAATTCTTTGTATGTAGGAGCGCAATGTCGGAAATTTGAATAATGTATCAGTTGTATCTGAATTATCTCTATATAATGTGATCACTTTATTATGTTTGTTAATTTTCTAAAGTAATTTAAGAATTATCAGTTTTTTTTCCTCCCTCGAGATTGCACGAGAATAAAATTTGGACATGGCCAAGGCTCTCACTACTTTAATTGGATTGGATGACCCTCGACTCTCGGGACATTACATTTTTACCTCCCTTCAAGGCAAAATGATAAGGGGACTCTTGTCAACATGGTTTCCTCATATCTCCTTGTCAAGGGGAGATATAACATAGTTCTCAAAGTTGATGCTCAACATTTATGATTGGTTTGTGACCTATGTTGCGTGTTGGACCTTTGTATTGCGAGAACTATCGGAATTTTGACTGGGATCAAAATACTTTTACTAATTTAAATTTATAGATCAATAAAATTTATAATAAATATTGTCATTGAAATAATTATTTGAAATAAAGCAATCAAAATTACCA